GTTGGAGGAGAAAGAGGAAAGAAAGAAAGATAAGAAGATCAAATAAAGGTAAAAAGTAAAAGATAAGAATTAATAATAAACACACTCTAATATATCGATCGATGATAAACACAGCAACGATAATAAACGTAGTCGAACACTTTGATCGAAGATGTAAGATGATAAATTCAAAAAATTCCCGCCGCGAAGCAAAAACGAGTTTCGAACACACGTACAAGGTGGCAAATATATCAACTATCAACTATAAATCGTAATTACAAGCATTTCATATAAATTATACAAATCATATAAATCATATAAATGATAAAAAAAAAAAAGAAAGAACAAAACAGTTTTTTTTTTTTATGCATGTTTGAATTGTACCTTTGTCAACGTCGCGCGACATTTCTTGAATCTACGAGAACGCGCGTACGGTTGGCGCGCCGACGAAAAGCAAGACTCGACTAAAGCGAATATCCTCGGAACGTGTATGCATGAGTTGTCTCAACAGAAAAAGAGAGAGAGAGAGAGTGAGAGAGAGAGAGAGAGAGAGAAAGAGAGATGGTACAAGATAGAAAAAGAAATTGTGTAGGACGTCATAGAATGCTCGCGAACGAAACACTTCAATAGCAATGTGTTGGAATAATCATGTCGATAAGAATTCAATCAAATAGGATAATATTTAAAAATAATATTATTGTGTCCATTTAACATTTTATACTATATTATAAATCAACGTTTAAGAGATAGATGATCTTCAATCTTGATTAATAATATCTCGCATCTCATTTATTCAAAGTCGAAGAAGACTTAATGGAAGAATAAACTGATCCTATCACTATTTTATTATAATATACTTAAGTTGGATGGTCAATACTATCAATCAATCTTAATGTTTGAATGATGATACTATATTTTTTACATTACAAAATAAACAATTATTTAACACCTAGAATTGGTCTGGCCATCTTGGTAAACGTTTAACATCAACAATAAATTATCTCTCTCTGAAATTTTTTTAGTTTTAGAATATCTTTTGATTCATCAGTTCTAAAAATATGTTTGTCTTAGAATTGACAGTAACAGTTATGTGTTAATAATCATAACTCAAATGATAGTAAAACAAAAAGCAATGATAACAATAAAATTTAAGATAATAGTACATTAATAATATAGGAAGAAAACAGTAAGTTATACAATAATTATAAAATTTATCATTTTTCTCATTACTATATGTTTATAATTGATAACTATTACGCAGTTTATTTCCCTTCTTCTTAACTTTCATTAAATACTGTTTATCTTTCCGTTCAATACAATATATGTTACTGAAATATAAGATGATACGTTATCTTTCCAAATACATTGAAAAATAAAACATACATCCAAGACAATTTGTAATATGTTACAAATTATATTTATAATGTATATTTAAAGACGAAATTTACAATTGATATCACGTATTGGCTAAAAATAATCTGAAATGATATAAAAAAGAAAAGAAATATTTTCATTCAAATAATAAATTTATAAATAATGTCACCTAAAAAATGCAGACGTGTCACAAATGTTCACACTCGAGTCAGGTTGATTCGAATAAACAATAATACTTACAATATGTTACTAACATAGATTGTTATCGTTCTCGAAAAGTTTTAATTTTCTTTCTTCCTGCTGAAAAAAAGAAATTGTAATTCAAGGTCCGTCTTTTTAAATCGTCCTATTTTGATCACTCACTGTTAAATATTCCAAATAAATGAAACAAACGGATGGACAATCTAAATAAACAAAGATAATCTAAACAAATCACGTACAAATAAATATTTCGTAAGCGTCGATACAAAAAATAATCGATCGAATTTTATAAATTCTTAAAGTTATAACATTGAGAAATGCTCAAGAACCTCACGTAGCTTCGATTACGAAAGAACCAGTAACGCGATTTCGCTTTCTCATTTATGGAAGCTTGTTTCTTACCTAATTTTAAATCGTTAATTATGTATTCCATTACGTCGTTAAAAGAATAAAAAAATAATCGTTTTCAATACATGTATATATTTATATATGTATGCATATTTACTCTAAGGGCATTGACATTACATTCACATATATACATACAAACATATATATTTGTAATAGACCAATTAATAAATATATAACACAAGTATTATTACATCGATCAAATAAAAGAATGAAAAATGACGTAAATTTTTCGTAAAAGAGAAAGAGCAAGAGCAAGAGTATAAGATATAGAGAGGAGGAGGAGGAGGAGGAGGAGGAGGAGGAGAGGTTTGGGACGAGGGAAAGGTACAAAGTATAACGTCGTTACGCGATATGCGACCTGCACATAAACGTTAAATCCTGTTTAACGCTTTAAGTACGACGCGTCTACAAAATCATGTTTGATATCGTCGACGTATCGAGAATATTAATCGAACCTGACAAAAAGGCTCGCTCGCTCATGCGCACGACAATTTACAATCATTCTAGTTACAAGTATGGCAAGAGAAGACAAAAAATATAATAGATACGTAAATAGGTCATGTTTTTTAATTTTCCGTATGATTTCACTCGTTCACCGAGTTTACGTTCATGCTAAACGTGAGATATTGCAGATCAAGACTGCGTCTCTAGATATATACGCGTATGTGTGTATGTATGTATGTATGTATGTGAATATCTCCTTGATACAATGATTATCTTTCTTCGTTTTTCACCATGTTTTTTGCTATTACTTGTCCTTCCTTCCTATACTCGAGCGTGTTACGTGTTTAGCATACTTCGCGATCATGCGTCGCCGTGGGATACGTTGCTTCTACAATTTCCGTATAGTTCGTCTTCCCACAGATGTTAGTATGTGCAAAAGCGTATATTTGCTATGTACTGAACTATTCTGATCTCGAAGTTACATTGTAGTAATTTTTTCTTCTTCTTCTTCTTCTTCTTCTTCTTCTTCTTTTTTCTATTCTTTTCCACGTGAAGAAGTCAATAAACTTTTTCAAATAAAATTGTACAAATTTCTTGTCATTCCTATTTTTATTATACTTAGCGTTCTTCGCAAAAAAATCAATTAATCAATGAAGAACTACGATCTATAATGAAAATTTATTACACTGGTAATGAAAAAAAAAAAGCGAGAGAATTGTATAAAATTACAAGATTTTATTCTAAGATAACATTTTTAAGATTGTTAATTTATACAAGTATGTGTTAATTTATTTGATTATCACCATACAATACACGCCTTGGTTGAAAACTCATTTCAATAATATTAAGTGAAAGATATGGAAATTATTAACGGGATAATATTACGTCAAATAGAGAATGGTGAGAAATTTTGACATACTTTTTCAAAATAACAACGAACGTGTTGTCCAATTCAACCGAAAACATTTTTGAAATAAATTTATTATAAAATGAATACCTAATGAGTATTTTAACTAACATAAACGAAACAAATATGAGTTTGTTATTTCCGCTATCGTGTGGATTAATTGTAATAAAGTTAATTTTGTATTTCAACACTTTATAATTCGAGAGAACAAATTATTTCGTGTGTTTACTTTTACAGCGTTTAACTGGCGAGCAACGAGAGAAATTTTCTTTTTTTTTGTTTTTTTTTTTTACCACGTCGCTGAACAGATTTTCTGTACAAGGCTGTGACAATTTGAGAAACAACAAGTATATAAAACTAGCTTACAATTAGTTAAATAAAACTTTTCAAATGTTATATGACTTTTAACAACGTCGCCTGTGTATGTCACGAAATTGTAACAAATATTCTGGAACGTGTATGTTAATATTTGAAAAATGTAATCCTAAAATAAAAGAAAGAAAAAAAAACAATATTTCAAACTAAACAGATTTTGTAAAAAGGAAAAAATGAAAAAAGGAGATACAATGTTTTCGTTATTAAGACATTTTCCGTTATAATACCGTCTATACTTTATCATACAAAGTATCGTTAAAGTTATGATCATGAAGGTGATGTTTAATCTCGCAGGAGTTGCTTGCGGACGATCTCGTCTATCCCGTTTACTGCGACTGTTGTACCTTTAGAGGTAGATACGTGTATTAGGGTACTATACACGTAGGTGAAGAAAAGGGGAAACGCACTTTCCCGGAACGTTGGCTATAAAGGTGGGTTATTGCTGAGCGTTCTACGACTCCTGAGTCTACGTGAAACTGCTCTCAGGGCACATTCGCATCTTCTCTTTCTTTCTTTCTTTCATTCTTTCTTTCTTATTTTCCTGCATTCCACACTACGAACGCCTAACAGTAGTATAAGAAACTATATACA